TCTGCTTGGTGTTGACTTCAGTGTCCACTTTCATATTTACATATGCTCTGTCATATTGCGCACTTTTACTCATAAAAACCTTAAAAACTATATTATATATTATAGAGAGATATTATGGGGATATGCTGGAAAAGTAAACTGAATCTTTATGGAAATATTGGATAAGACATACGAGTGGTTGTAAATATTTACGAAAAATAATTTTATCATGTGTTAAAACGAAACTAAGAAAATATTTTTCTCTTTGCAAATTTTGAAAGCAGAAAACAGTTCACATGTAAATATGGGACATTGACATGTGAAAATGGTAAACATTTGGATAGGTCAATATAAAAGGCATGGTTCATTGGAATCATTACAGAATCAAACCATTGGGCTGAGTATAAACCAAACTAGATTGACCACATTAGAAACTACAAATAATTGACCTACTGGTAAAAATGTAGACAGGTAATTGTAATCCTATTCCAGTTTTCTATAACTATATGATTACTTGGAAGTTGTTATAAACATGCCTTTTTCTAGCGTGTATACTCTTTCTCACTAATCATAGTTATTTCAGTCAAGGTTTTCATAGTGAATAATTTTTAAGTGAATATAAGTACGTTGGAGATTAGATAAAAAAATGTATAGTCACTAAAAATATCATGGGTAAAAGTTGTATCATTGGATTGATATGTTTAAACAAATGTAAAAAAAATAAAAATAAAAATTTTTTGTTTGATTCTGAGTCATTGCAAAAAGATTTTTTAAATCTCGATTAATAGCTGACAAAAATTAAATATTTTACGATTAGAATAGATTTTTTTTCAATAAATAAATAAACACTATCCTGTTGGTTGTTGTTTCAATAATATTGGTACATAGAAATATTTTAATCACGTTAAAAAAATAAAATCAGCGACAATGAATAAAAGAAAAAAAAGAAAAAGCAAATACAAAAAGAACATTTTTTTTATCACAAGACACTTCCCGACTCTGCTTGTCGGAATCAGAATTTGATATTAGACTCCAGGGGAAAACCTAAATGTTAATTTTCAAGGCAGCAAGGCCACAGCAATCCTCGGCACCACACAATCTTTCTACACTTGACATTCTGTCAGATTAATCTTAAGTAGCATCTCTAGTTTAAAACTTCCTATATAAACAGAAAGTGTTGCAACCACTTTTAAAGAAATGCCTTTTTTTTTCTTTAAATAGTAGTCTTGTGTAAGCACATTTTTTAAGTGTCTTTTAATTTAAAACCCAAACCAATATTAACTCTCCTGTAATCGCGGAGTTTCTTGTTAGAAAAAAAAAAAAAACTCACATGATTTAACTTAGGGTTCTTACATTCAGTCGGTTATATGCTATGCATCAAACACACTTAGGCGATCATGCATCTTTCGATACATGACTGACAAGTCAGATTTTTTTCCCGCAGTAGGTTATTTCTTTCTGCGGTAGACCAGCTGCCAACCAAGGCTATAGAACCCGGTCTGTCTTGAGGAGAGAAGTAGGATTCATACCGTTCCCAAGGGTATTGGCACGTAAGTGAATGTAATGGATTTGTTGACTCCGATTCCTCAATCCGAGCTGCTATTATCCAATATCCATGCCTCCTATCAACCATGTGTTTTTTTTGGGTTTTTTTAAGTTTTATGAAGAAACATTTTCCATTCACAAAACTGGAATAAAGAGATTAAATTTTTAAACGACAATGTTTTTATGGGCCTATTTTTAATACTACGTTACGTTTTAAAATTAAAAAAAATTCTATCCAAATTAAAATGGAAAAATCCTCTGAAGACACACTGTCCAAACTTGACTTGAAACCTTAAATTAACTGCTGCGATTGTCAGGTTAAACTTAAAGTGATTTTTTTTACAAGTCCTTATAAAGCCAGGACCTTTCATTCATTTATTCCCTGTTTGCGTATTTCTCTTTCGTTCATTAAGCAATCTTCCTTTTTACACTTCAATAGTCATTGTTTAGAAAACAATAGCCACTTGAGCATTAAATTCACAGCGATTGTTGTAGTTGAACTTCTAAATGATCCTCAATCTATTGGAAGCAAAATACAATCTTGCAAAATTGTAGAGGAAATCACCAATTTGTGTATGTTGATTGCTCTAATTGATGCGGCCGGTAGGGCATTTTAAAATGAACAAGTTAACGGAAGTAGCCATCAAGTTTAAAAGGACATAAAAAACTAGAGACATCTAAATAAATAAATACTTGTGTTTGTCATGTAAGTAATCATTTGACTATTGCTAAAGTACTCAATAGTAGCAACAATACACGTCGGTTCGTAATTAACATAAAAAAAGCACTGAAATTAGGACAGTCGATTCAATTTTTTTTTTCAAAATGATATTGAAGTCATTTTTCAGAAATATGAAGACAATTTTAAATCGTAAGCATTGACTGGAAATTCCAACCAAATTTATCTTTAAAAATAACGACAGTTGGTTCAAGCAAATAATGAGTTGAGTGGATAGGTAGAGTTGTCTATTTTTTTTTTCAACAGAGATAAAATAAAAAAATAAAAAAAAAGGAATTTAATTTGTAATCTTCCTAGATCTGTAAAATTTGTGAAACGTGATTTTGACTTATCTTTTTAGTACAAAAAAATCGCTTCTCTATTGACGTGATTCAAACCCTCGAGCAATAACAAAACTTTTTACAAAATGAGCCATTTATTTGCACTATTGTTGACTATTATCCTCCAATTTTAGTTTTAAAATCCAATTTCATTGTTATTTTTTGTTTGTCTTTTTTCAGCTGTCAATGGATTTAAATTGGTAGCATGCTTGCAAAGTTAATGCATGCCCATGGCATTCCTGAAAATGCTATTCTTTCTATGTTCATGTCCCCAAATATGTGTATGCAGTTCAGGCTTCGTATAGTGGCAGAGCTGAAATGTTATAATAAATGTAAACGATGATGATGAGAGGAAAGAATTTTTATGTGAACACAGTGAACAACGACGATAAAAAAAAATTGATACGCCATCTATCAATTCAGGAACATAGAATCTCGCCATATTCATGATTAGCAATATTGCACTATCTCAGAGAGAGGTGCACATTTATTTATCAACGATAGATAAAAGATAAAAAAAAACAAAAACAACAACAACACTAAAACATTAATTTTAGTATAGCTAGTAAAACTAAAAAATAATAAAATAGCCAATATGAAATTTTCAATTATGGTCACCTCTTGCTACAAAAGATCTTTTTAGACAAACGAAATAATCGTTTTTAAAACAGTAAGACAATTACATACACACTAATTATGCCGAAGATAATTTGATATGTAGCGGAATTGTGACAATGATGCTGAAATCAAGCAATGTATATTGTAAATTATTCATGGGGCAGGTGTATTGTCACGTGGCCTGGTTTCCAGCCAGTACTATACTATGAACATTTGCAATTATTAATAAACCGAATTTAATTTTTTTCTATTAAAAAAAAAAAAAAAAAAAAAAGATCCCGGGATTTTAAAGACACTTTCAGGATATATTATATATAAAAAAAAAGTTATAATAAAAAGAACACTTATTTGATCAGGTAAATAAAACCAAGTAAGAGATACTGTAAAGATGACAGTTTAGGATGAGAATTTTTAAAGCAGCAACGCATACTTAATTTACTGGTGACAGTTTAATATAAAAAAAAAAATTCAAAATGAAAACATTGAATGGTTATCAATTTGACTTCAATTTGAAATTGTAAAGAAAATTGTGAACAAGTATCAAATATTCAACCAAAATGGGGGGGGGTCTGGAGAGTGGAGATGACAAAGGAAAAAATAGCAGGTTTTTCTTTACTTTTTTGCAGGTTAATTAACAAAACTTCAGAATAATCGAAATTCGTTCAATCTTACAAAATAAATTGAAAGAATCTTACGCTTTTATTTTCTTAATAGTTCATTGCCTCTAAAAAAACAAAGTAACATTGTCGTTACCTCACATTTTTAGGGGGGGGGGCTTTAGAAAAAATAATTTTATGTTGATTTTGTTGAAAAAAAAAAAAAAACTCAAAAAATAAATGTAATATTTGTGTCCGTTTTAATAAAAATCTACATTGCGTTTTTAGAGAGAAAAGCTTTTTTAAGCGGTTTCATCCGTCTATGAAAAAATAAGCAAGTGGTTATTTTCTCTTATTTCTTAAGTGTCCTGGCAGAAGCACAGCTACCAAATGAAACTTAAAAAACGAACGGGAATTTTAGAATAATAAAACTAAAATTAACTAGTTTATAGCAAGCAATTAAGAAATCAAGAAAATCAAGTAAAAAATAATCATCCCAGAATGAAATGGAGGAAAAAAAAACCACCGTTTAAAAAAAGAAAAAAAAAACAGTGTTTCTCTGTAAGTTAAATTACAAGTCTACAAATTGAAACTATACTAGTCAGTCAGTTACAAGTAAAAAAAAAAAAAAAAATAAAGCAAGGAAGGCGCACGAAGAGAAGAAAAAAAAAAGAAAGGCTAAAAGTTTTATTTATATTTTTATATATACTTACGTAGTTTAAAAACTCGTTGGTCCTCTTCGGCCATGACTTTGTAATATTTACTTTTTCCTTTAAAATCGTGTCCAAATATAACAGCAAATTAATCCAATGAGGTCACATATGTAGAACCGTTTGCATCCATTTTAAATGCGACCAAAGATCATAAATAGCTGTTTTAAGTACGATTATTTATATATTTTTCCTTCCTCTTTTTAACGTTCTCTTGACTAAAACATTTCACAAACTGCAAACGATCATCAATTTCAATTTGGGGGAAAATATGGCTCTTACTGAAGCAACTCAAAAGCACAATCAAAAAGCACTATGATTGGTCAGTTTTGGAAAGAGCAAAATGAAACAAGCCAATAGGATTGAGCGTTGTATAACCTCTCGGTTGCATTGTCACGAGGTTTGCAGTCTCACAAATGGCAGTGACGTTGTTTTTGTTGAAGATTGACTTTTGAAATGAAAAATTACAATTTTTAAATGGACATTAGTAAATATGCGTCATTTGTTTACTTCGTCTAGTTCTTTTTTATCAACTGGTATTCTCCGTCCACTCAGAGCTTTACATTATGTCCAGGGTCAATCGCCCGAACCTAAAATCCGAGAATATTTTTATTACATTGATCATCAAGGACAGGTAAAACAATTATTAGGCTACCTCCTTAAAAACACTGAGAATTTTATTATTTAATAATGGTTTCTTTTCATCAATCGCATTTCTAAATAAATTTTCAGCGGATATTAACTGATTTCTTGCAATTATTTATTGAAACTTATTTTACATCGAAACATCTATCAACAAAACAAGCATGCTGGAACAGGATGGAATTTGATTTTTTACGCATTTTGTCTTGTTTTTTAATTTATTCTTTCAACAAAGATTACAAACCATTTCGTTTTCCATTTTTCATTTTATAAACGTGAAAATGTGCGAATTATGAGATTTTTTTAACGTTATTCCAGTTTAATTTCATTTGCGGTATCTTATCTTACTTAAACTTATAACCATTAAATTTTGATGTATTTATCTTAAAAAAAAAAACAACAAAAAATAAACTAATAATTCCTCGATCGGGATCAGTCTGTAATCTTTGATGGTTTTTGAGGGAAAAATAATAGTGTTTGTTGTGTCGTGTTATGTTACAAACGTCTACTCTAAATTCCAATAGTCTGATTCAGGTGAAAGGCACATTAATAAAAACTTAATTTTCCTTGTTTGTCGTCGTCTTAAATTTTTAACACGACACATAGAAAAAAAATTATAAATAAAAGTTGTTTTTTTGTCTAATTGGGCTCTGTCAATATGATCCAAACAATGTTTAGTTTATATTTGTTGTGTTCTATACAGAGCTTCCTTTTTTTTTCTTTTGTTTAGTTGAAAGACACTGTATTTTTCATAGCATGTGAAATATTTTTTCGAATGCCAAAGTGAATTAATTTCATTTAAATATTTTAATTTAAGTTTAGTTTTCTGTCTCATATTCTGAGCAAACATTTTTCCTAATAATGAGATGAGGTGTATGACTTAGGATTTGTAAATTTTACCTCAGATCAATGATCACACATAAGGAAAAAATAAATGAATTACAGTTTAACCCGGATATAAGAGAGTTGTCGGGACCGGAGAAGAAGTCTCTTATATCCGGGTTTGGTCTATTTTATATACATTAACACAGGCTCTAATTTGGGACCAGAGAAAATCTCTCTTATGTCCGGGTTACACTAACTCAATTTGTTTAATAATTTTTTTTAAAAAGTTCAGATTTACCGTCCTTAATCATATGAAGAAAAATTATATTGCATGTACATTGTACACGCTATTTTTTGTTTTATTTCTGATGCAAGACTTCAAGGAAATAGATTCGACCTTTTTCATTTTAATTATTTCTGTCTAACAAATTTGTATTGGTCACAAAAAAAGTTAAATTACATTTTGTGGTAGGGAATGTTTGTACCCAGAACATAATATTAGGTAGGCAAAGCAATCTAAGGGAGATGATTCTTTATTTTTTTTTCTTGTGATTTTTTTTAACCATTTCATTTCGAGCAAGGCAATAAAGTCACTAAAACGCAGGGCTATTATTTAGTATGAGAGAAAAAAACACTATTAATGAGAAAGAACAGGAAAAGAACAAGAAGACAAGATAACGATTGACGTTGCATTTAAATTTTTGAAGATCAACGTTGACTGTTATCAAAGTTATAAAGTTGGTATGGGAAGAATTTTTCTGAAACAAAAAAAAAAAAAAGATAAAAAATGATACCTGATTTGAAAATCGGCATTCAAGATCTTTTAGCTTATATCTCAGGTAAAACTATAATTTCTGCTACTTGTGAAAAATATTCAACTATCACAGCTACTAGACAGAACTGATTGAAAGTTTTTGAAAAAATAATAATAATGTGGTAAGTGTATGAAAATGAAAATTATAGAACAAAATTAATCTCCCACTTTTTTCTCCAAATTATTAGATTAAAAAAATATTAAAAAATCAGGTATCTTCCAGTTTCAGTCAGTTATGTGCCATGTATGATACACGTGTAAGCAATCATGTATCTTTCAATACATGACTGACGAGGCAGATTTTTTTCCACAGTAGGTTGCCATTTCTTTCCGTGGTAGACCAGTTGCCATCCAAGGCTATAGAACCTGGTCTGTCCTTCTATTTACCTATAGCTGGGGGAGAAGAAGAGGATTCATACCTTTCCCAAGGGTATTGGCATGTAAGTAAATGTAATAGATTTGACTGGAATTCAAACTCAGCTCTCCGATTCCTCAATACGAGCTGCTATACATAACTCCACCATGCCTCCTCATCTTCCAGTTTAGTAAATAAATTTAGCATACTGTTATAATGTGCTTTTCTTGAGAAGTGCAGTGGGTGAAACAGTATAGATATATGAAACCTTTGGATAGAGTCATGGTAAGGAGCAAATGCTAATAATTTCTTCAATAAAACTGCACAAGGGTGTAAAATTAGTATTGTTTCATCTTTTATGCTCTATTCTTGATCCAATGTAAAACCTTTGTTAGGATATTTGATTTCAATGGAAAGCATTTCTCCAAATCAGTTTGGTTTTGCTGTTTCTCAATCCACTAGATTCCATTTTAGGATTAGGCAATTTTCATGGATATCATTTGCCAAAATATGCTGAATTGGTTGATCTATTTGCAGAGTTGCACAAGAAGATTTCTTTATAACCTACAAATGTAAAGCTGGTAGCATTTAATGATCCTTTATTGTTCTTGCTTAAAATCATGTTGTCTAGATTTTTTGTATTAATAAAGAAGTTACATTGACAGCCGACACTTGTAAGTATGCTGTTTCAGGGATTTTATCACCAGATAACCACCAAGTAATATATTTTGTTAATCAATGGTGACAAGAATTTTTCTAACATTGAAGCTTTAGCACATGTCTATTACCAATGCAAGGCTATGCAAATGCACATGTATCCAACTTTTTTTATTTTATTTTCATTTAAAATTTTTTAAGTCTGATTGCAAATTAATTATAATTCAGATTTTATTTATTGAAAAATGTATTCATAAAATGAGGTTAAGTAAAGGTTACAAATTCTAAGTGTTATTTCTCATACACATTGAATTACATTTCATTCAAAGAGATACCTATAGGTTTCACTTTGATTTCAATGTTTATAAAAAAAATGTTTGCTCAGAATATAAATCATAGTAAAGCAAACTAAGGGAGATAATTTGATCTGCTCAAATTATTTTACATATTGAACTGGAAGATACCATAAAAATATGTATCCATCATGAGTAAGAGACACTTTATGGAGGGCGGGGATAACAGTTAATCCTAGACTTCAACAGGTTAATATTGTAGTGATTGGAGAAGCATCTCTTGTCACTTCCATAAAGCAGCAGTTTGTAGGAAGAAGCTGCTCAAGTAGAACTTCCATCTCACTAATGCAATAAAAAGGAAATGAAGGTGGTTTACTACAATGTGTGTGGCATGGTGGGTCTTAACCATGATGGTTAGGACTGGTGGAAGTAAAGAATGTAGTGAGAAGTTTGAATGTTTCATCTGTGGAGGAAGGGCTGTAAGGTGGAAAATAGTTCATCACCCACAAGGATGTGGAGACACTTTTGGACTCTATCGAGAGTGGAAAGTGAAAACTAGGCAGCAGTACTCTATTTTCAGCCTGATCTGGCCCAAGTACTTACTGGTGCAGTACAGGATACCAACCATTTTTTCAATATCTTTCACAATGCATTGTGCATACAGTATCTTTTGTGATGGATTGTATGTACAAGTTCCACTTGAGGTTTAAGTTGAGTTTAAGTCCCAATAGGTGCTCAAGGCATAGGATTTCCCTGAGAGAACACCTGTTCATTATGATGTGAAAATTCAGTTTGTTTGGTGATGATGGAACATCACTAGTTTAGTTCTCAAAATATTGAATGTGACCAGCCAGTTTTTCCCTCCCTGAGCTGTTAAAGCTATGTTAGAGGACAGATCATCTGCCAGGTTCTGGTTATCTAGAGTTTTGGAGGTGCACCCATATACCATTGTATCATCAGAATAGATATTTACAAATGATACTCACTTCAGACATAATGAGAATATACACTAAAGGAGTTAACTGAATCAAACTTTTAATCTTTCTGATTTTTTTATCTCAAAATATATCAAAGATTTTTCTGCCAATAAAAAAAAAATAATTTTTCTACATTGATTATAAATGTTGATATTATTCTTTATAAGTAAAGTTAGCTTAATAGATGTTGATATGCCAAAAATGTTGTTAGCTATTCATTGATTTGAATTATTAATGTTAAGCATTTACTTTAACCACCTCTGAATGTTTAACTTATAGTCTATTTGTTATGTATATATCATACTTATATACTTTTTTACAAATTACTTCATTATGTTAGACATAAATCTATTATCATTCATTATTTGAGTTTGTTATCTTCATATTTTTCTATCTATATAATGAACAGTCTGAATGTTTCTTTGTTTCTAATATTAGATTTGCCTTTCAGGTAACCAGGTTTAACTTCTAGGTAATCCATTGTTATAACATGAGGTATACTCAGCAACACTCCAAGTGAGCAAGCATCAGGTTATCTTAACAACAGAATTTTAAAATTTGTATAATCAAAGAAAAATGTAAATGTTTTTTTCTTACTTGAATTGTTTTATAGATTGATTTGTTTTTTACATATTATCAACACTTTGCAGGTTACTAAAAGCCAGAAAATATACTTAGAGTGTAAGAATTTTTTTTTTTCAGAGATAATAATGATTTTAGTGATACAAGTCTTACTAATTAATCCATAGCTAGGAGAAAAGAAGTAAATTCATACCTTTCCCATGAGTATTTGCACATAACTGAATATAACAAACCCTACTGGAACTGAAATACAGCTCTCCAATTAAAAATTCTGAGCTATTATCCATTACACCACTCACACATCCAAGCTTACAGCACTTGGTATTCCCAAGTGGTCACCCTTATAGGTACTGACCAAGTTCGTAATTGCTTAACATTAGTGATCATATGCGAACTGGTGTTTCAACATAATATGGCCATAAGCTTTGTGGGAATTTAAAATGAAGAATTATTTTAATTAAATGTAATCTAACTTGCATCCCCTATTTTTAGGGCTTATAAAATAAGGGATGCAAGTTAAGATTACATTTATAAAATATAAGATAATCACTTTATTACTACCATTAATTAGATCCTAGTTGAGCTTTCATCTAATGTTTGTTGCTTATTGCAGCACTGATTGCTTCACATTCTGTGGTTGTTAAGCAGCATGAGTTGAAACACTATTGTTTCTGATTCATGCTGGTTACCTGAGCATTGTGAAAGAAAGCAACAAAAATAAGTTGAAAGTTAGTCTTAAATTAATAATTATGAAAATGCTTTATCTAAGACATTTAAACATGTTAAGACTACAACATAATCACTTGTTATCTTTTACAACCAGCATTAATTTAAACTTTTGTTTTTTTTTAATCATTTTACCCCAAGCAAAACGATAAAGATACTAGAATACAGGGGGTTACAGAGAGTTAAAGATAATGGGGAAGATTGAGGAAAGGACAAAAAAGGAACAGGGTTCAGGAAAACAGAAGATGGTGATTGATGTTGCATTTAAATTTTTGAAGATTGTAGTTATCAGGGAATCAAGAAATTGGAAGGGAGTTTCACAGATGGGAAGTACAAGAAAAGACACTGTTAGAATGGACATAGTAGTTACATCTAGCTAGTTCAACTGTAAAATGGTGAGACCTAGTTGCCAATCTTGTAAAAAAGAGAGAGGGAAGCCAAGATGCCTGGTCAGAATTGATTACATTACAATTTGCATTTCTTGAATATGATTTGTCTACATGGTTAATAGAGAGTGGAATGTGCAAATTGACATTTGTGTTTTACAAGTCTTATAGTTTTATTTGAGGAAAGTTAATATTTTCCATCATCTGGGTTTTTAGTTGAGTTGTAGTAAATTTGATTATAAATGTTGATATTATTCTTTATATAATTTCTTTTATTGATATAGTTATCAATCACATTCATAAATTTAATTTTGTCAATTTATATTATAGTCTGTTGGGCATGATAGATGTTGCTATTCATTTAATTATAGTGACATCTTGAAAATTAGAGTAAATATCAGTGCAAATTCTACCTCCAAAATACATGCATATTACTGTTGCTTGTTATATGATAGTGTTTCAATATTGGGAATTTTGCTACTTTGTGTAGGAACAGGGTTTATCATTTTTTGGGTTATCCATACTTCAGCTGGCCTATGAGGTACTTTTAAACTGAAGTGGGCTTTCATTGTATATGGATAAAGAGAGTTGACTTAAAACTCACTTGACCTTTTGAACTGAGTCATTAGGTAACAGAACCACTTGAAATAATACAGGAACATTGGGTATTTATCAAAGTTCTTTTGCACAAGCATTTCAATTTTAATATCTATGTTATTTGCCTTTGTGTTAAGTTTATTTTAATATATTTTTGTTTTTATTCCATAAAAATGTTTAAAGTATTCTGCTTTTATTTATTTTTTCATGAATTTTATTTTAAAGTAAGTGCGCATGATGTGTAATATAGTACTTTATTCTTTTATGTGTTCTCTAAGCCTCTTGTGAGATGTAATATGATTATCATTCTTTCCTGAAACTTGAGAAATTTTATAACACTAATTTGTTGTTGGTAGAAGTTTGCAGTCAAAGGATTAGTCTACTGGCAGGAGAGGAATTTGTCTACCATTACTAGTATCTACATTGGTTTATTTGATAATGTCACAAAATGATAAAATATTAAAAAGAAAAGATATGTTGCTCTTGTAGATTTTAAGATTAAGGAAACATGACCTACATAGGATAATATTAGAAACAAAATGAATATTAGTTACTTTTCAGTTCATTTCATATTGTGGACATATTTTTATAAACCTTTGCCAGTATCATTAATCTTTTTCAAGGTCATAATTTATTATAAAAGTAATAAATATTTAATTTAAGTAATACTCACTTTCTAATCATTATCTATTTATGAAAAAAAAATAGTCTGAACTTTTTACTAAGATTGTCCTTTTTGTTATTTTTAAAAACCTCTTTTTTTGTTCTAAGAAATATTTAATAAGCTGTCAAATAAGTCAAATATTAAAAAATGTTTTTTTATAATCTGAAATTAACCAAAGATTGATCTAAAAGTGTTAAATATATTGAAGCCATTCAATTTAAAAGAGATACATAGAATATCTTAGCAATTTTCATTCATTAAATTTATACACAATATTTTACTTTTTTTATTATTGATTAATGAGTTTATCTGATATTTTGTAAGACAATTGTCCAGATTATCCATTTATTGGAGAGTTAAGCATATCTAACTCTATAACCATTTGTTCTGTTAAAGCCTACTAATGCTGGTTTTTAGTTTATAGAATTAAAACAAACTTATTTAAACTATTGTTAAATGCGTAAAGTGTGTAGATTTTGTGTAAAATCTAATTGAGACCTATTTATTTGCTTCTGAAAAGTACAAGGATGTACATATGTGCATAGAAATTGATTTTTTACCTTGAAAGTTAAAACTATTTATTGAATTGATTGAATCATTCCTGACGCAATCAGTGATTTTTTTTTTTTTTGCATGGTGATAATAAATAGGAAACATTTGTATTCACAATTAAATATCTTTATTTTAAATTTAGAAATTTTAAAAATTTTATCAAAAATAAAGTCATATAAAAAAAGTAGGCTCAACTTTTGTTTTTAATATTAACATCCCAAAATGTTTGTCTATTTCTAGAACTTGTGTTATGACAAATATATCTTTACAGAAAAACTTTCTCTCCCTCTTCATACATATATATAACATTTTTTGTACCTATGGAAACAAGCCATCCTCTATTTAGGGGCCTTGTTTTTGTTATAAATGTGTATGGGGAGTTATAACTCTGAGTAAATAATTATAAACCCCTTAACATTTAGATATACAAAAATTCTCATAAAAATGAGAAATAGCAAGATGTGAAAACAACAAAACAAGTATTATTTATTATCTGGTTGTTAGGTGGTGTTGGAGACATGAGAGAAAGTAATACTAAGTAAATTGTGAGTTTGGGGTCAAATCTAGATCAAATACAGATTGGAATCCAACAGAATGATAAGATAAAGAATAAGTAAAGTGTATACAGTCTTTTTTGTATTTTTTTTTATAGATGTGTGTAATGAGTGCCCAGATAATTTAGTTGAAAAATACAAGACATGTCTGGGGTTTTCTTACCTTAAATTTTTATTGAGTGCTAAGAGAATAGTGTTACTATTAGCCCCTATAAAAAGAAAAGGAGCTGAAATTTTCATTGACATACATGTTGACTGCCTGTTTCATAGTGTCACATGTTTCTGTGTAGAGGAGAAAAGTGGTGTTGATTCTCATTGGTTTAGAAAGAGTGAATTAATGATAATTATAATTGCTATAATTATTTTATTATAATTGTTTTTGACACTGTAATGGATACGACACATGCATCCTCACTAGAGCCAAGTAACTTCATTAGTGAGTTAGGGAAGGTCAGAGTGAAAAATATGTATTCTGGGTGATATCAAAAAAGTCACATTATAATTTATTTCATAATAACCATAATGAAATACTAAAATAATAATCAGTAATGCATAGATTGAAAATAATTTTTTTCAGCAAATATGAAACAACTTTTTCAAAATATATTTAAAATATAATTAAAATTAAAGAAATAGAATAATTATAATAATTAAAAAAATAATAGAATTATTTATTGAAAAAAATGTCATTTTTTTTTTCTGTGAACGTATGTTGAGTGATTGATTGATTTGTTTTCTACAGTTTATCAACCCTTTGCAGGTTATTTAAAGCCAGAAAATCATTTTAGATTATAAGAATTTTTTTTAAAAATAGTAATGGTTTAGTGTTACAAGTATTACTAATTAAACTATAGCTGAAGGAGAAGATTTGGATTCATACCTTTCCCAAGGATATTTGTACACAAGTGAATATAACAAACCCAATGGGAATTGGAACTTGGCTCGCTGATTAAGAATTCTGAGCCATTATCACTTACACCACTCACACATCAAGCTTACAGCACCTGGTATTCTCAAGTGGTCATCCATTTAGGTACTGGCCAGGCTCAACATGCTTAACTTCAATGATTGTACAGGAACTAGTGTTTCAACATGATGTGGCCATAAGCCTGTGAGTGTATGTATAATTTTGCTAAAAATTTAAATTTCCATTGGTGCTTTTTCAATTTTATTTTTTATTTATTCATCAATATAGCATAGTCTGACACAAGGCCAGTTATTGCAAAGAAGAGTGTGATATCATACTCTCTCAAATGAGAAGTACCTATTTTCCTTGGAAATCATCATTTGAAATCATGGATTTTATTTGGATTCCAAAACTGACTACTGGCACCAATTAGAGATATACAGCTACCTAACTCAATAAGCAGTCCTCTAAAAATATTTTTACAGCACAAAGTTACAAGATTATCTGTGACTGGAGAACTGAGAATCAGACACTACCCTAGTGATGGTCTCTGTGAACCACTACTCAATGGCAATATACTCTTATTTACTAAGCTTGGTCTATTTAATAGGTCTTTTAGTAAGGAACATTTAGTAGTGTTTAACCTTCATGACTGAAAAAAATAGTTTGTCAAAAGGATGGTTATTCCCTTGACACCACTATTACTGTATACACTTTTGACTTCTTTGGTAATATTTATTTACAAAATTATAAAAATATGTGAACCAAGTATAATGCAATATTTATTATTTACCTTTTATAAAGATTTATTACTATTTTATAAAGAAATAAATTTGAAAAGAAATCTTTTTATTCAAAAATTTATAAAAATATGTAAACAATGCAATATTTATTATTTACCATTTTATAAATGAATATGAAAACAAGATTTTTATTCATAACTTTACAAAAATATCAATGAACTATTATTGTCAATTCGCAAAAATAAAGAAAATATGTAAATCCATTTTTATGCGTTTAGATTTTAGTAAAATTTTAATCATAGTTTTTTAAAACAATGAACATTGCCAAGGGAGTCCAAAGTGTATACAGTAATAACAGTGTCAAGAGAATACCCATCCTTTTGGTACCCTTTTTTTTTTTAAAAAGAAAAAAATCAAAGGCTTAGCATTGCCAAACATTCTAACTTTACATGTAAATTAGTCTGCAGAACTAGTTTATCATTAACCTATGATAGGTGCCCATTCATTAAGAGATCATAATTTGATTTGAGTTATGTAAATGATCTTGTCTGACTGATTTAGCAACTTAATCACTTAAGATTTAGATTTTTTTAACTCTTTTGAAAGATAAATTCTTATATATATATATCTCATCAGCCAGTTTCAAATAGTTAAGAGTTACAATTTTTAAGTTCACTGCTTAATTCATTCAGTTTTTTAATACACACACATACACACAACACTGTAAATCACACCATACTTGCATATTAGTTGATAACATCAAATTGTCCAAATTTAATTCTTCGCAGCAGCTGTGGTTCATTTATAAAATATTGAATTCAATCATTTTGTTAATTCTTCAATGAACGAATGAACTGACAGGTTTGAATAGGTGTGTCTTTCAAATATTTTTCTTCAAGATATTTAATGAGGTGTCCCCAAACTGAACACTTTAAGGGTATAACAGTTAATGAAAATAAACATTAAGTATTTTATACTTTCTTAAATATTTCACTTTTGTTTATTGATAACATCTTTATGTATTTAAATATTTTCTTAATTATTTTGTTCAATTCCCTGTAATTATTTTATTAACATTTTATTATTAAGTGCTAATCATAAAAATTAGTAAGAGTTGAAATTTGTATTAAGACTCTCAACTTGTTTTGGAAATTCTATATTCTTTACTCATTATGTGTTCTAGAAATTTCAACTCTCTTTCTGATGCTAAATATAAGTGTCCTTTTTGTCTATATTTTCCTTAAAACATTTTTGTTGCTCACATGTTCTGTCCATGATATTCTCAGCATCCTTCTGTAGAACCACATATCTGTTGCCTCAAGTCACTTCTTCATCTGTGAGGAAATTGTCCAGGATTCTGCCATATAAGAGGACTATTATTACATAACAGTTGAGTGCTCTTTGTTTCTAATGAAATTTTCCTGTGTCTTAATACTTAAGATTTTGGAAGGCATCTTTAACTGTTTAAGTGCACCTTCAGATTTCTATGTCACATTTTTGCTTCATATGTTATAACACTACCTATATAGTTAAATTTCTATATTTGCTTGATTCCGATGTTTCCAATCTGTAGCTCATACCTTGGGCTGTCCATCTTGCTAACGGCTGTACAACACTCTATCTTACAATTGATAGTTAGTCCTTTGTTCTTGCTTTCCTTTATTATTTTGTTTAGAATTCCCTGTTGTTTTCTTTCCATGTCTGCCATCAACACAGTGTCATCTTCATATCTTATGCTGTTAAGATTGTCTTCCAATGATAAATCCTGGTAGGATTTATAGTTCTCTAAAAATCACCTCACTGTGTAGGTTTATTAAATCAAGTAAGATGCATCCTTGTCTTACATTTCTATTTTTATTCAATTTGTTTTCTCTTAATTATAAGTATGAATTTACCATGGCGAGTTCACTCATTACTACTGTTAGTATACTGTTCTGAAAGTTATCTATTCGTAAATTATATGAATTCTATTTTGCTGAGAATATTTATAAACTTTTGCCATTCAATGGGTTTTACCATTTTTAAAGCTGACATAAAAGAAAATGATATTTTTAATTTTATTCTTAATTTCTTTTAATATATATATGGATACACACTCACACACACCCCTATTGTCTGGTTCACACTCCACCCTGTTCTTTTGAAAAGGAGCAAAGATTTAGCTCTTGCTTCCTGCTGAGGATTGTCTTTCCGGTTCCTTCTCAACTCTCTTCTTCTAACATCTTCACCTAAACTCTGAAATTTCATTTATTATTTATTTTTTTCCTCAATAGTGCATAGATTCGGCTATTATCCAGTTCACACTCTTCCTCAGTTTTTTGAATAAGAGTAGAGGTTTATGCTTTGTGTCCTGTTTAGGACTGGGTTTCTGGTTCTTCATAAAGTCTACTTCAGCTCTACTTCTGACATCTCCACCTAAACTCTGAAACATTATTAACTATTTTTTTTTTGTTTTTTTTTTTCTCACTAGTAGTAGTAAAAGAATTTTTTTTTTCCCTGGGAGGTAATGGAAGAAAAGAGAACGTCTCCTCTCTTACCCCAAACATTAACAAAGGCGCATACAAACACAAGAAACAAAACTATTGTGAGAAATTTAAAAGAACAAACATTTATTACAAAACATTAAAACAATATAACAAAATATAATATTTTACAAGGATAGGCTTGAACAAAAATTTCCTTTTGTCTGCTTTCTGTGAGGCAGATTACATATCAAAAAATATATAAATGATCTTGAAAGATTTCAAAATCCTTGAAAAATTTTAGAAAAAGTTTGAGAAGGTAATAGAAACTTTGAATAAGGCAGAAAAAAAGGTGCACATGTTCAATTGAAACAGGAAGAAATCACAGAATGAAGAGAATTTTGGCAGTTTCAAACCCCTAGTGTCATGCAGACGTTTTGCAATTTTTCTTTTATACAACAATTCTATTCACCTTCAGTTCCTTTTTTTTATGTATTCTTCTCTGACAGTAGCCAAAACTTATTTTTTCCTTCTAAGTTCTTATTATTCTCCATTCAGGATGAAATTTTTATGTCACTTTGTTTTCTGTCTTGGTCAAAATATTTGATTCTTCTTTGAAAATTTGATCTCCTTCTGCTTTGAAATTTGATTACCTTTTGAAGCTTATATGCCGGCCTTTCTCTTTATATAACAATTGAAGCTTTGATTGAACAATAAATAGAAACAGTATATATTTTCTTTTAATTTAAAACAGTTCACCTTGACCAAAATATTTTTTGGTGATTCTTTATGTTGTGGAGTAAATAGTACACCTCCACCAGTTACTATATGAACTAGTCCATAACTAATAAAGTTATAGGTAAAAAGAAGTCATTTCTACTTAAAAAAGAGTAAAGTGAAACTGGAATTATAACTGTCAAAAGACATTTGATGAAATAAAAAAAGACTTGTGTCAGATTTATCACTAGCACACAACGATCCAAAAGCAGAAATTGTAGTGGCATCAGATGCTAGTGAGTACAGTATTGGAGCAGTGATTTTATACAAATACGATGACAGTAAAATGAAAACCTTTGCTCATGCTTCACACTCACTTCTACCAGCAGAGAAAAATTACAGCCAGATAGAAAAAGAGGTGCTCCACTGGTTGCTTTGAAGACCATCTGTCCCTTTGCTGCTTCTTGATGGAAAAGACTTGAGTGCAGCAGTTGTCTCCATTTCTGTTACTGTGGTAGGCATTTAACTTCTTCCTAGATATTTAAGCTCATTTATACTTTCAACTGCAGTATATTGATAATATCTTTGACTAAAGGTGCCAGTTGATACCACATGAATTATTGCCTGGTTGAAGCTTTTGATGTTGTTCTTCAATGCATTCATATAATATATAATGGAATTATATGATGCAGTAAAATCAAAATGCTTGTCTCTGATTCATTGAAACTTGTCCTGCAAGATGCACATTGTATTTAATATACAATTTACTGTTGACTATTATGAATGCAGCACCACATGAATGATAATTTCTGACACTGATTTACTAGTGGATGTTGTATTTCAATTTAGTGGTCCACACCTGGAGCTGTTCTGCAGTATCACATCAAAGTCTGCTAAAGAAGCAGAACCCCTTGAGATAAATCGTATTTATACTTGGTAATGGCAAAAAAGCAAGTGTCACTCTGAAGGCTGTCTAAAATTACGGACCCAGTTCTAATTTGGTCACAATAAAGATTCTGATCAGAACACAGTACAGAATGAAGCTGAATCTGTTGTATATGTGGACAAGTCATTGATTCCTGACACAAGAGATACTCGTTGTCCTACAAACCACCTTACATTATGTTGATCTGAGTGTGTACTGTATGCAATTCACATAAAGTTATGAACTTATTATTTTCATGATGGTTAGTCTTTGTTGATACTAAATTACTGAGGTTTTCTGTGTGTTTTTCTTTCATCCATTAATGCTAACCGTAAAATCTTGTAATGTAAAA